TAGAAGAATGAAAAATGAGTAATTTCATGGCACTGAGTTTGGGGGCCCAAAGAACTCTTCTGCAGGGTCTCTGCTCCCTCCATTTTGGCCCCAGCCTGACCAGAGCTCAGTGATTAAGTGTGGAGTTGAAAACGCCCTATAATTGTAAGCCTGAACAACAGATGAGTTTATTTGACTTACACCATATGATGAAAAGACACTGAGCCAGATTAGATATCTTAGTTTACAAACAATAAATGAGGTCATTTGACCCAGAAATCTTTGCTTAAATGTTTGCCTAAGTAGAACATATGGAATATGCTCATAAAAATATAAAACATAAAAAACCCTGCTTTTCCATGTGTTCCCAAAGGTGTTTCCCAAATATGCATTTTTTTCACAGAAATGCTGTATGCATCTGAGCTCACATAAATAAACTTGGTAGTATTCTTTGAGAGGTACCTGAAGGTGTCTGTGAGGGTTGTTGGTACTTTTGTAACTTCTACAGGTGTAGTTTAAGCACAACTGTTTGCACGTCTGTTTAGCCTGGATTTAATTGTATTCAGTCAGAAAAACTTGAGAGCAATGCAGATAATAGAAACTCCTTCTATATTAAGAGGGAATTATGGAGGTTTTTACCTTATAAGAAAACAGTCTATCTATAGTTTCTTTCAGGAGTTTGTGTTTGTTTTCCAATATTCCTCCCTGAGAGAGCATCCAGAACTAGAGAACAGCTCTGTATTATGTTTCTGAATTATCTGAGAGCACCCTGCAGGTTATTACAATTTTTACTACCTGAAATGATTTAATGGTCACCCACAAATTGTGCAACTGGTTACCTAATATACAGCATGTGACTTTCTCTTCCTTGATTAGATTAAGCAAATCTGAGCCAGGGGCTCAAAATGTGCTTTTCATGAGTGTTCTTATGAACAAAAAGGTACTTTCACTAATATTCACAGAAGGAAAATAAAAGCCTCAGGTCAGGAAATCACTAAAGCATGTGTTTAATTCCTCCCCTCCTTAAGAGAGGAGTTATGCTCACACTTAAGTTGCAATGCTTAACTATTGTCTGAATGCTTTTCTGAACCAGAACCAACAAAGAGGCAGCCACAGTTCAGTCATCTTTAAACACTAAAAATGTTTTAGAGATAATTAAGTCTTCTGATTTATTGCAGCAACATGCCCTTTTAAAAGTTACTAATTTTGCATTTTTCTAACCTCCAATATTCAGTTAATATTGGATTTCAGCCCTCTGCCCTTAAATTCTTGTGCCCTCATGTGACTGAAACACGCCTAATAGGATAACCTCCATATGTCCTATTAGACAAAATTTGTGTTTTAAACCTAGATCCAAGAGTAATTGAAGTTAATGGAAAGACTTAATTGTTTTCAATGAAAGTTGGATAAAGAACTGATAGTTTAACTCTGGACACTCTCTTTTGAACCTACTCACCAAGGTGCTGATCCAACTCCCAGTGAAGTCAATAGAGGGATTTGTGTTGGGATTTGGATAATAACTCTGTTCTTCTTGGAGTCAAATCCTCTTTGTCAATATGCACACGCACAAATACAGAGATATAAATGAAAACAAATGTTTGGCAACTTGTGACAGAAAGTCCAAATCTGTATCTGTGTATTTGGGCCAAACCAAAATTGTTATGCTTGACAAAAACATCATTATGCTGATCTGGTTTTGGTTTTTGCTTACTAGTAATTGTTTGGTGAGTATAAATCTAACTTCTCATATTTTATTTTTTTGCATAAATAAATTCTTCTGTCACTGTAGACAGTAAAATGAGAGGGATTTCTATGTAAAACTCTCTGTTCAGACTTGTCATAACTTTGACAAACATAATCCTCTCAGACCAGATTTTTCCATGCTTGGTCTCCATCAAGAGCAATTCTGTTTTTGCCAAGTATGAAGACGTTTGCTTCAGCTCCTTCTTAGTTTCCAAAATACAAAAGGTTTCTCATTTAGGATCGATCCTACACTCAAAACAAAAGGGATGTGGGCTGGATTCCCAGAGGTGCAGCGCTCTCGCAGTTCCCATTGGCTTTAGTGTTTCTAAAATCAGCTTCTGTGTTTTTAAAACAAGAATTCCAAGCGGATGAGGGAATTCTGACTTGGACACAAGGAGCCAAGCGGAGCCTTGGCTAGCAGAGCTGCAGGGAGTAGAGACGTTGCCGATTGCTTCATCTGCCGAGAGTTACGTGCCGCGCACTGGCTGCGCTCCGTGCCAACGGAGCAGTGCTCTTGGTAGCACACAAGGACAGGAACAAGGTGGGCATCGAGGGGAACACCAAGGGATGGGAAGTCTTCCAAAGCTTTGCAGACCTCTGTACTCAACACAACTGAGGCAGCTTTTTCTGCTATGCAGATAAACAATTTCCCAATTTATGTTGATAACAGCTCAGGCCATTCCATAGCCCTATAAACAGACCGATTTTAGGACCCAGTGACAAAATAATTGGTTCAGCCCCAGCATCTTTTCCAGAATGATGCAGGCCATGACTCTACCATTTTAGGCTAAGATGATTCTTTCTCAATTGTGCTACTCCTCCAAATACCAGCTCAGGCTACTCATTGAACACTGAGGCCATCCTGCAGTTACTTAGCTTGTGTCCTCCAAGACATTGTATTGCTGTAATTTTTATTGCATGAAGCAAATGTCATCAGATTATCCATCTCACTGTGTTCTGAAGATATTAGATGGCCACCTTCGAAGCACATCCATATCCCCTTATGATGATATATGGGATACCCAAGAAATATATAGATATTGAAAAGTAGTACCTAAACTCTAAAGGTCAGTGAACAAGCACCAAAAAATTCAAGTGAGACAGAATAGTAAGAATCCTTCCCTGAAAATAATTTAATAATTCATCAGTAACATAACACAAAAAAATTTCTGGCTATTCATTCTCTGGCTGGCATAGGAATAAAATACTTACTCCAACAGGTCTATTTGTTGCAGAAGGGGGGCTTGGGTTGTTTTTTGTATGTTTTGCCATGCTTGTTTTTAAACAAAGCCTGCACAGCCTGGAAAATCTGTGAAATAATAATTATAAAGTTGCAATGAAAATTTGGAATTATGTTAAAAGGTATTTGGTAAATGAATGCTAAAAGGGACTAAAGAGACTGACAATCAAATCCATGACTTGAGAGTAGAAAAGTCAGAGTCAAGAGAAGGAATTCCACCTCCATGGGGACAGAAGATGGAATAGAATATTTTAGTAGGAAAGGGCCTACAACGATCAACTGAATATGTGATAGGTCCAGCTGCAAAAAGGTGATAGTGATTTGAAGCCATCTGCAACTGAAGAGAGAAAATAATCTAGATTATACCAAAATCCTGTAGTTTGAGAAGCTACTTACAATTTTTGGATGATAACTGGGTCCCTAGAAGAGTTCACCAGCCTATGTGGTGTTTATCTAAGCTTTTGCTTGTTTTATAGACCTTGCTACTGCTTTTAATGACTTAAAGAAAACAAATTAAAAGAAATGAAAATAAAAACATCCCTCATCAATAAATAGGTCGTGAATTACAGAACAGGAGTAGCTGCTAGAGTGGCAAATGCACACATGCTGTAACAGTCCCAGGGGCTGACAGATGCCAAAATGCCTGGATGATCTGTTCATTCATGTCCAGGAAGGTACTGACAATGGCTCCTCTCCAAAGGGGAGGCTGCATATTGTGCTGACATCCACATCAGATGACTGAAATCCCACCAGGACTTCTGAGCCACATATTTTTTAACCTGAAGATCAGAGAATGATTTTACGGCATTTCTCCAATACCTGATTTATAAAAGGTAGCAAAAATGGAGAAGAAAGAGGGGATGCCCTTTCAAATACATCTCTAAATTCAGTTACTAAAGTAACTGAACTAAAGTAACTAAATTTACTGAAAGTAACATACTAAAGTATGCTCAGCTTTGTATTTTTCCAGATTGATCACTTATTTCAAAATATACCATTGAGGGAAAAAACAAAAGGAAAGCATTTTTCCAGAAGCAATTTTTCTGGAAAGGACATGTTATCATTGTAAAGGGAATTTACATTTTATATTTCTCAAGTCTTGATTAACTTGATTACCTGCTGTGAAACTCCCTAACATCTACTGAATCAGATGGGTACCTTTAGCCTAACTCCTAATTTAAGTCTAAAAACTCTTTTCTGTACCCACTGTGCATTTCAAAACCAGATATTAGAACTCAATATATTTCTTGGGGAACCACCAGTGCTCTTTGTATTTAACCCTGTGACCTATGCCTCTGTATGGGCTAAATTACACCCACCTCTGTGGGAAGATTTAAGCTCTGAGCCACTCTCTCACAGGACTGGAGGGACCTGTCTTTAGAAGAATGAAATTAAGCACAGACAAGTTTGAGAAAGTTCAGATTGGCAAACTTGGCAGGACAAAAGGACAAGTCTTCAAACTTGCTTTACTTAGCAGGATTCGGGGGAAATGCGCCGACTGTACATTCTCTACCCTCATTATATTCTTGGAGTTTTGACTTCCTCTGTTGCTCCCTAGCCACAGATAGGTATCTAAACACGGGGAAGGCAGAGTGTTTTCACAGCTGCTAGAACCCTGTTACACCTATGGGCTGCAGGCCACACAGGGGGAGCACAGCCGCTCGACTATTGAATAATAAGATGTTGCTTAAGTCAAAAGGTCTTAATTGTGTTGCTTTACATTCAGTTCTCTACCTAGACAAAAAAAAAACCCAAAAAAAACCGTTGTTAGCAAAAGGAGAGTAGTTAGATTTCTTTGGGGGAGTCAGAGCAGGAAAGAAATGTAATCTTATGAAACCACCAACACTTTGCAGCTCTCTGTCTTATACTTTTATACTTGTGTCTATATATCTATACAGAGTGTATAAATGGTTCTGCATTTCAGAATGTACTGAAAAATCTAAGCACCTGGTAGGGCAAAATGGAACTTCAGGAATTATTTTTTGTCTCTTCTGAACTGTCAGGAAGAAGATGAAGAAGAAGGAGAAGAGTCCAAACTCTGAGACTTCAATTTTTTTCAAATGAAGACCTCATCCCTTTCACAACTGAATATTGCACTTAAAACATCTGAATTTCAGTTGAAAAACAAAGTATCTGTATTTGATATAGGGCTCAGTGTATTTTTAGCACATTCAGAATCTCACTTTACTATCTTATATTGGCTCATTTTGGCCAATATCATTTGTCCAGTGGCCCAAAAGAGCACTTATTACCCTTTATCTATGGAGGGGAAGATTAGCATCACAAAAATCATCTTGTAATTGGTACTGTTGGCAGTGCCAGATCAAAGACAATGATTCTGAAACACTTAAGAAGCTGTTGCCCAATTCTGCAACTTCTGGAAATTCATGTAGGTCCATTATAATGAATGGAGTTTTGCCAATAAGCCAACTGATGACCTGCCTGTTAAAAAAAAAAAAAAAAAATCCAGCCTTGATCATTCTTTTATTGTTCTGATTCTTTTGCAGATTTAGAAAATGTAACAAAACTGCTTAAAATAGCCCTACCATTTATTATTCCAGGAGCAATGTTTTCTTAATAACACAGTCAAAGTGTGTCTGGAATTTTGAAACACAATTCATTTTCCCACAACACGCCAGGCAATCAAAAAAGTTACATTCCATATCCAGAACAAAAAATCATGGCTGTTACAAAATAAGAAAAAGTAAATCATTAAAAAATATATTGCTAAGCCTAAAAATCTATAAAAAAACACTGACCTTTTTATATACCTCATAAACAGCAGAGAGAAATTCCTGCTTCTGCCAACACTCCAGTTTGCAACGGTGTTCCAAATTTTCATTAGCACAGCAACCATGCTGCCTGATACCCAGTGGATCAAACTGCTTTCACATTCTTCCTTCTGAAAAAAAGAAAAAAAAATGAGAAAGGAAAAAGTAACTGAAAACAAGCCGGACAGGTTTATTCCATATCAACATGATAGATAGTGAAACATCTACAAGTGATGCAGCTGGGTTCTGTCCAACCCAGAAGCCCAGGTTATAACTCAGATTTTGGAAAAGATTTTCTTAGGCATAAACCCTTTCCTTTAAGGTTCTTCAGACCTGGTACCTGTTGTTAGCTCATGCATGGATTGGTAAACAAGGACAGTATATTTAAGACCATTTTGAGAATAACTTAAAGAATAAATACGTTTGCAGATGATTAATTTCAGAAGACTGCAGAGAAACATTTGGAGGTTAAATTTGTGTTTTTAATTATGCTTTTTTTTTCTACTCAGTACAAACACATTTAAAATTTTATCAATTTCTCCCATGACATGAAAACAAGATACCATAGAAAGCCTCTTATAATTTCTTACTATAAAGAGAAATTTATAGGGGATCATAAGGAAGAGATAAAAATACTCACCGTATAAGATTCAAATTAGGATTCTGATTTTACCAATCCCAAAATTCCAGATCATTTGATCTAGGATTTTTAACCAATAAGCAGATATCCCTTCCAAATATCTGCAAATGCAGTTTTGAAGGTTATGGTAATTACCTGTTTATCTCATGAGACATTTTGATATGTGAGATGTTCCAGAGCAAGGAAAGTAGCTGGTGGCTGTTTAAGTTTTTCATGCTGTTCATATTGGAATAAAAAAGAATGTGCTAGAACAATTCGTAGTAAAACAAAATAGGAATGAGATAGAATTCCCTTGTTCTTTCTTTAAGGCAAAAAAATGAAAATCAATATGAACCAACAACCAAAAAAACCCCCCAACCAACCAATTAAAAACAACCCAAAAGATGGGAAATAGGAATAGAGAAGATGAGAAAAAGAAAAACCTGTTGGTTCAATGTTTTTCCAGTTCTCTTCCCTGTAATATATAGATGGAAAACAAAACTAATGAAGGGGGCTTTGGGTTGGTGTATGACATTTAGGTGTCACAAAAAAAGTCTATTAAATCCTTACCAAATATTGTTTCAGCTGCTTCAGAGCACACTCTGCAGTCACATAATGTTGAAGGTACCTGATTCCTCATCAGCAATGTTCAACACCTCCTGGGCCTGGGTCCTGTTACAAGAGAAACAGTTTAAAGGAACTGGAAGTGAAAATAATCTTTGTAGCAGATGATGTGGACAACATAAGCTCATTGTTAGAAAATACTGGAAATTAACAAAAGGGAACCAGAACTGCACCTTTGTATAAAGCAAGCTAAGGATTATGTCAGAAGACAAAGAAAGCCAAATAATGAAAAGAAAAAGGAATAATCAAATTTAATTGAAAGGTGCAGTTTTAAAGAAAAGAATTTTGTCTATTGGACTAGTAAGAAAAAAACATGAAATCTATAATAACATGTACATTTATTCTAGTCAGAAACATATTTAACAATGCCATGTAAGTGAGTAGCGGGATAATTGCTAAGATGTGGCTAAATAGGCAACACTTTATTATTTTAATATTAAATACAATTATGATTTCTTGTTTTCTTAGTTCTTTCTTTCACAAGGGCTGTCATAATCCATCAAGTCCCAGATTTGGAATGTGTTTTTATGTGACTCTATGATTAAATTCCCCACTCAAAATTCACAAAGAATAAACCTGACGAAGTGCACATGCATCTTAATAAGAGAAAGGGACAAATTAATTCATTGTCTATTGAAGCAGTTTTATAATATCTAAACATATGCTGAATAAAGCTGCAAGCTATTAAAACAAATCATACAGACTTTAATTACAATCTAAATCTGCATTATAAAGTAATAAAATGACCCTAAAATAAATGTTATGGAAGTCATGTTGTCCCTACAAATGAACACAGCATGAAAGAGTGTTACAATAAAACACCCTAACATTAACATGTTGTATGTACCAATGTGGCTTCCCACAGAGCTAAATCAACCAGACCTAACTCTTCTCTTCCATAGCTGTGGGCAAAATTCTCCTCTCCCTTAATTTGCCTTTGTTGGTCACATTCATCAGAGTTTCAGGAGCCTGTGTGGGGCAATATGACCCTGCTGGGCCCAGCCTCCTCCCCAGGGTCCCTGGAGATCTCCAGTTCTGGGCACAAATCCTATCGGGAACCAGATGGGGCAATGCAGAGCTAGGGAATAAGTCATCTTAACTGCAAAAGAGTCACAGCTTAAATGCTAAATTTTGGCATTACCATATGGCAGCCAATTACAACAGAGGAGTCATTCTTGAGATTATCCATGTGAAGAACATTATTCATATGACATTTACATATATGAGAATTTGGAGGGTCAACCATAACTCTGGGATTTTTTTTTCCTTCTGGGTAAGCACTGATCTCCAAATGCATGATCTGATATTATTTCCTAAAATAATCTGCTATTTTAGAATACTCGATACGCGATCATGACATTTATGATCTGTTGCAGAGCCTATACTGAAGTCTGAAGCATTTTAACCACAGTATTTGCTGCCATTTCCTAAATCATCACATCCCACATTGATTCTGACAACACAAGAAAGAATGACAAGGGCACTGAAATAGTTGAATGGGAACAGAAGGCCAGAGTTCCTATTTAACCATGTATTTGCCACTATGAGATAACACAAATAAAGGGCTCCTTTCCCCTCCTCTGTAACCCAGACTGGGAAATGTCCAAATCCTTCAGTCCAATTTAAGCACATTAGGGCAACTCCTCAGGAGGGTCCCTTTACAAACACTCACTAGTCTCTGTACCTTCTGCCAAACCCCACAGGATCATTTCTGATTCCTTCTGAGCACTTGTCCTTTCACTTCAGACATGGCAAACAAGCCCAAGCCTCATCTGGCTACACCTACCTTTGAGGTAGAAAGCCATAATGTCTCCCCAGGTTCCTATTACCCAAATTATCAACCACAGCTCCCTCAGCCACTCATCAGACAAGTTTTTAGATCCTTCATGACCTTCACTGCCCTTGTTGGGACAGGCTTCAGCACCTCAGTGTCCTTTTTAAAGGCAGGGGCCCAAAACAGAGCACAGCACTCGAGGTGCAGCCTCACCATGACTGCAATATTGGCTCTAAAAAAGAGATTTCTGACTTCTGCACTGTTCCCCCCTCCAAGGGCAAGCACTTGAAAAACAGATGAGAAAAGGAGCACATATCCTCTCTACCATAAAACATGAGATTTAAACAGACACTAGACCACTTCACCTTGTTGAACACACAGCAGAGATCATCAGGGTTTTCTGGTTTATCATAGGGGGTCTAATGTGCTCAGGCCTGAATAAAAGAGGAAGGTGCATCAAGTGGGGCAGACTTAATTGCTAATTCCTTGAATTATGTTGGGCTCCTACTAAGGCAGGCAGGACACTGTGCAGTCATTCTCCTTCAGATGCATTAATAAGAAAAATATGAGCGTGTGAGAAAAGGAATGGGGAAAGGCAAGAGGCTGTAAAACTGTGACTGGCTGAATAACAGGTGAGCAAAATATCAGAGCAAAATTAAAAACTATGACATGGTAATGGTCCCAAAACTGCACACCATGATACAATTATATTCTACATCTTCTATAATTTCAAGATATTAAGATTATTCATTGGACTTGAGTGAGAGTGTAGACTGGTACCTACCTATTTAAAATATGCTAAAATTCTAAACAGCTTCACTGAAGGCACAATGGTTAGGAATAATTTAAACATTTTAATTTCTCACAGTAGCACATAAGTCTTTAAAGTTAAAATACATTAGAAGGCAGAATGCGTTGCAGATGGCTTTTATAGCAACATTCATAAATGAATGACTTGAAAAATAACCAAGCCTTAGATTTTTCACAACATGATCAGATAAAATATATTTTTTCTAATTGAAATATATATTATATATAACATAATATATAATAATTATATATATAATATTTCCTATTTCCTATTGAAATTGCCATATTTGCTATATCATGGTAAAATGTTAGTTTTTCCAGTTTCACTCAGGGAAAATAAAACCATTCCACAAGATTCAAATATTATGTTTTGAATGTGCTTAGATTATCCTACTTGACCTTGCAATGAAAGAGGGTAGAAGAGCTCAAACACTTCATCCCCACTCTTCAGTTCTGCCTTTAAAAAATATCTCTCGGCAAACTCTCAATATTTTTCTGTGCAAAGTCAAAATGGTCTGCTTAAACCACAGGTGACCACCTCAAACCAAAAGGCAGCTTTACTAACTTCTACCTCTCTTCTTCCTAATTACCAACTCCCATACCCATGTTTCTGTAGGTTTGTAACTTTTCCATGAAATGAAGGACAGAGGAATCACAGGTTCATGGATGCTAGCTGGCTTTCCTCTCTCTCCAGAGGTGATGTAAGGGGAGGCAGAATTTAATGTGTTGGTCAGTAAATTACAGCTCAAGATCAGATGCCAGCAGAGGCACTGTGTAACAGGAGTGTGCAATGCAAGAGCCTCAGTAAAAGGCACCTTACCGAAAATAAAATGTGTAAATTAATTCCCGTGTGGGAAGCTGGCTCAGAGTAGCAAGGATACTGCAAATTCACACTGCTGTTCACTGCACATTCATTTTTTTAGGTGGAGGACTCTAATTGAGTGCAATCTTAGAACACACATACTGTAATGATTATGGCACCCTCCTAGAAGGGGAGAGATCCAATTTCAGCTGGGAGCTGTAACAAGGGTCTCCTCCTTCCATGCAACTGTTCCAAAGTGCCAAAACACAAACTTTGTGTGCAATTCGGTCATGCTCGGTGCGTGCCTGCCAGATGAACTCCTGAAGGTGAGCTGTGTGAAGTACCAAAACTGCACACTGAGACTTAGGCAGGAATTAGAGGCAGCTGCATTCAACTTAGGTGGCTGAGAGCATGTCTAGGAACAGAAACAGAGGTACTACTGGGACTTTCCTAGAAAGCTTTGGCACCTAAAAGCATTACACAGTTCTGAGGGCAGGTAAAATTGAATTTTTGCAGACAAAAGTACATGGAAGTGTTGAGCCCGTTGCCCTACGTAATTTGCTTTAATGATGGCCCATCTATTAAGGCATATACAAAACATGTGAAACCTCATTTCATACCTGATGCCTTTCTCATTAGTGTTAAGTTACAAAATCCTCTCATGTCAGCCCTGCAAATGCAGATTTTGGACAGAACAGATGACAGTGTCTAATTAATGTTAGATGTTACCTAACCGTTTATGGACACATTAGTAAGAAGAATTCATCCTTCTTTATATTTTAACTTGTTAAAGAGAGAACAATCGTATAAAAACAAATATGTCTGTCATCCTTTAGAGACCACTTTTAAAGATGGCTCTGGTTAACTCAGTCCTTGTCATATTTTTATTTTTCACAATATTTACACAGCTTAGACATTTAGAATATTTTTTTCACTTTAATCTCTGAGAAATACTTTGCAATATTTTAAATGCACAAAAGCATTTGAATTCTCTCTTTAATTTCACTTAAGATTTTGCCAAAAGCTATTCTTCTTAACTGCAATGTATCTATATAGTCCATCATTTTATTCTTTTGAGAAATTACTTCAGTAAGGTCTCAGCAGCTGTAAAATATGTTATTTTATAATTTCAGGGTATCAGTGGGACTAATCACTCTTAACCAGCTATTTTATAGCCATGGTGTGAGAATGTCTAAGGTTTATTTGGAGTATTGTGTTTTTTTCAAGATAAAGCACAGTAAAACATGTCAGCCATAGAAAAACATTACTCACTTCCTTCTCATCACTCTTAATTGAGATCAAGTGGTTTTAGGTCAATCAATTTGGTCAGGAAAATTTATGAAAAATGCAGGTCAATTTATACTTGATAGAGGTAATTAAAGTTTTTTACAGACAGTCATTATAATAAAAGCCTTTCATTCCTCATCCCTCACTGTATCACTGTGAGAAATTCTACACAAGAGATGAATGTCTGGATTGTAATATTGATTTCCCTGGGTTTTCTGGCATATGCTCATGGTAGCACATAGCTCAGTACCACTCACTTGTTAATCATCAAACAAACACAAAGCCTGTTTCTGTCTCTAAATTTGTGAGATGTGACCAGATGGCAATCTCACCCTGACAGGTGTGTCCTGAAAACTCATTTAAATATTTGTAAATAGT